TTCTCAGCCGTTTGTAACGATTCTTCACAGGACGAGAAAAAGCTGAGATTTCAACGTCATTCGGGAAAACACAGAAAGATTTCATAAAGTGGAAGTTGTAGGTCAGCATTTGACCTTGAAAAGTTCGTGAATTGATGTGAACGTGTACGGTCATTAGTATCCACTGCAAAAAACGTAAATGGTTGTCCAATTTCGAAAAGCACGGCCGAAATTCAAAGGCCCCGCGCACCTGCAGGTGCGCGGAGCCCTAGGTAATTGGAATTCCCCTATTAACCAAGGAATCACAGTTGTTTTTGTTCATAAACCGCTCTGTTGAGTGTAACCGGTGCACAACCAAATGTATTCCTCTGAAGGTATGCCAGTAAAAGAATTGAAACTGGAGATACTCAATGAAATCGGAACTGTGTAGCATATGTAGAATGTTCCGCAGGTGTTGACCAGCAAAGNNNNGTGTGTGTGTGTGTGTGTGTGTGTGTGTGTGTGTGTGTGTGTGTGTGTGAATAGGATTGAACAAAACTGGCCATACATTGGACTTCATCCTCACAAATACACACAATCCTTAGTCTATTCAGACAATCAAAACACTCGGGAGACACTGGAGTTTAGTTTCTCTTTGGCATTGGAGTCCACTAGTAGGAGGCTATTCAGAGGATCAGTTAGGGTTCGACAAGAGGCTCTTGATTGCAGTTGGTTCCATTTGTGCCTAGGTCAGGTCCGAATGATCCGGTTAGCGTGCATCACTAACGGGCTATGATGAAAGAGAGTAAAATTACCCTGAGTGTGTGGCTGACCGGATAAACCAAGGATTGCCGATGTGAAGACGGAGCCAGAAAGTTGCACAGGCGAAATTCGAGAACATGTTATTAGTATTGATTGATTTGAATTGCCTACCCTTCGGACTTCATCCTCACGCACAATCCTCAGTTCATCGATTCACCATTCACTCAGAAGCACTAGACTCCAGTTTCTCTCCTATTAGAGCTCATCNGGGATTTAAACTCCGGACCCATCGCATGGAAGGCGTGTGCGTTACCACTGTGACAACCAGCTCAAATCAACCAATATTAATTATCCCACACCACTATTTAAAAGTAACTGTGATTTAAACGCAAACAGGTTATTTATTACGAGCACTTTAGTGTGAGTTAAGATAAAAATCGATACTCGCCAGCCGTACTTATCGTCACCTGAGATCAAGGTGACAGACAAACTGACCTTGGTGCAGTCGGGGTCACATCATCAGGGAATTTGAGAAGACCACATCCGGTTGCGGAACAAAAACCAGGGAAAATAAATCAGCTTAGTGGATATAATTCTCCCTTGTGATCGGGATGAGCGAAAACAGAGACATTGGATAACTTACTTCCAAGAATTGTGCTACCAGTGGACACCGTTTGCATATGAGTAATTCCTCTCGAATTCGTTTCTGAGCGAATAGGAAACCACCGTAAAGATGGGATAAGGACGATTGTGTTTCGGCGTCGAACTGTGAATTCGCATCCGCGAGCGGGGGAAATGAGAGAGAAGAAAATGGAAAATAAGCGGATCGAGAAACGTTTTTATTACATAGTGTAGTGTAAAACACCGTAGAAGAAAGACAGTTTATAGCCAGTTGGAATTATAGTTCAAGTAAGATGACAATTATTTCATTTCGAGTGTTAAGTAGTATTAGATCTCAATAGGATGGTATCACAAAGCTGCTTACTCTGGAGTTCGATTATTCAAGCTTGCATTGTTGGTCCCAATTTCTTTTATAGTATCCCACCAATCCAGAGACCAGAATGCCGAGTGTCTGTTTCTTGAGCCCTCGTGGCTGATTTTCAGTCCTCTCTGCTACCGAGACCAGTCAAATTATGGAACTAGTTTTCAGAAGACCTCGTTTCATGACGGTAAGTATTCTTCTACTTCGTTAAGTAGAACTTGGCGAGGTCTTCAAATTTCGGCCGTGCTACATTTTTGTGCTCCAGTGGATAATTCATCGACTTTTACGTCATACATTAGAGTTAGTTGTTTGAATCAAGTTTTCTTTCATCGCTTTCATGATTACATACGCCCCAGAATCTTTAAATAATTTGAAACATTGTGTTATCGCGCAAGAGTGGCATTCTCCATCAGTTCAGTCGCCAAGTTAAAAATAGATACAAAAGATGCAGACCGTCGAGGTCAGATTTCCTCAGAAAACGCCGAGCAGGCTGGCAAGTGACTTTACGTAAAACAAAACTCCAGAAAATGTCAATCCTTGCTATTTGCTCATCAAACGTAAGATCACTATTTGGCAACACGAGCGACTTCACGAAACTGATGGGGACGGAAAAATACCATGCAGTGGGGATAGTTATGCTGCAAGAAATGTGGTTGCATCCCGTCATCAACGACTCTTTAGTTGATCTGGAGTTATTTGATATGCATCGGTTGTATAGAGACTGTTCACTAAGAAATCGAGGCGGTGGTCTAATAACCTACACCAAATCGTCTTGGGGTAAGTCTACAAGGATTATCTTCACTTACAACGTGGGATATATCTCATGTCTTTCGGTTGAATGTAAACCCCGTTTCCTTAGTAAATATCGTTCCATTGTGGCATCAAACATTTACATAGCACCTTCCAGTACAACTTCTGATGTACAGACGTTTGCTGATGTATCTATATCCGAACTTTCCAACTACACGGAACGCTCTCTTTTATTGTTAGTGGCGATTTTACCCATGCATATATTCATTTCTTGACATGTCTCTCTCCCTCCACAATATTGTAAATTTCTCCACAAGAGGAAACGCGCAGCTGGACCTTATGTTTCCGAACGATCCTGACCTGTTTGCTATGCAAAAAGGAGCCCCTTTGGCAAACTCCGATCATTGTATCATAAATGTTTTGCCAAAAGTCTACTCAAAGGAACATCATAGCACACTGACACGTACATCTGGCCGGAAGATTTTTCATAGGCTGTACGACCCGGCTCACTGCCGGTCCCGACGGACTATGTCCAGTCGTCCTCAGGGAATGTACACATGATCTGGCGTAGCTATTTGCCGTTATTTTCAATCGCTGCTTTGAGGAACAAAAAATTGTCGACTGTTGGAGACTTGTGCACATCACACCAGTCCCCAAAAAAGAAGCTGGGAAATTAAGACCAATCGCCTGTACTTTTATTTTACTAAAAATTTTCGAAAAGTTTATCCATAGTAACATTATTCCCAACAGTGGGTAGCTTATCGCTTACAACAAACAACGCACACAACGTTCTACCTTGGACGCTCTTGCGCATTTGGTAAACTCAGTTTTGCGATCCCTAGACATGCATAGCAGGGCATTTCGTGTGTTTCCTCGACCATAGTAATGCTTTTAACTTCGCTGACAGGAGCAGGCTTTTGTCTCTACTCCAAGGTGCTGTATTGTCCAATAATACCCTTTCTCCACTTCAAGATTATTTTGCTGGTAGAATATAATTCACGAAGTTTCTTGGAAAAACCTCTGACTCCCTACCAGTCAACTCAGGGGTATTCCAGAGAGCAATTCTGTCCCCCTTTCCTTTCTCTTTCTATATTCGTGACCATCCCACTAACCCAGATGGTATTCTTATTAAGCATGCTGATGATGTCACAATTGGTTCCAAATTCTAAGGTGATTTCCGCTTCTCACATCTTCAAACCAGTTTATCTGCCTTAAATTTATGATCTTCGTCTTCCAAGTTATCTCTCAATGCATCTAAATGTAGAGATGTCACCTTCTCGCTCGCCAAAGGCGAACGGCTACATTCTTTTGAAAGGAATCGTTCTGTATTCTATATTGACAACAAGCCAGTAAATTCGCTGCAATACCTCGGTGTCACCATCTGCCAAGATCTCACCTGGACCTCACATTTGAATTCTACATTTGTAAAGATTCGACGACTGTGTTTCTTTATTTCCCGCTTGCGTTCTTTGAAAGTTCCACTGTATTTACTCACACGATTTATATATTCTTGTATTGTAACTCATCTTCTCTGCTGCTCCTCAGTTTTATACACAATTTATTAAAAGTTTATTAAGATTATTTCTCGCACAGGCGGTATTCCTTATTTGCACTTACTTAACTTCATCGCCGATAAACGTTTTACTTCTTGTGATAACTTCTGTAACAATATTCTATCAGACACCACTCACCCATTACACACAGAACTTAATGCATATACACTTCTGTAACTAGATGTCATTACAAACTGGTGTATGCTCGTACCGCTGTCGATCGTTTGCCCGTCATCTCCTATCTTTCGAAATTTCTGGCTCCAAAAGGCACCCGTCAGAGAAAACGTTTTGAATTACCTATGCAATTGATATTCATTTTCAAACTTTAGCTCCATCTTTCTTTGAGTTTACGATGCTGTTTTTTCACACTTTCTTTGTGACCATATGCGATGATAAATGCTCCTGGAGTGCAAGAAGCTGAGAATCCATCCATTAGGATGAATAAAACGATTTTTGACTTGACTTGACGTGAATCCACGACGAGTTTTGGGAGCAGAGTACACAGTGACATCTTTGGTGTCAATCTTCGAGGATGCGCCTCTAACTCCTGTACAACCCAAATGCTACTTTTAGGGTGACGGCCTTATCAAGTGATGCGCCAGGTTTGCAAAGATCATGATGCTTTCTATATCTCTGACGTTTTATGACCGGGAACTATTTGATCAGGTGAAAACCCAGTCGATCCTAGGGCATCACCGATGATCATCCGCTACTGCCAGTTTAGTGAAGCAATAGCCACCTACATGCGGTTGGTCATCTGAGTGGTTTTTTCCCCTCATCCGTGACCCGTGAGATGTGCCCGGTGATGAACAGTTGAGGCAACCTACCACTCCCTGTCGGCTTTTTCACCCACTTGCAACTGTCACAGGAATCAACAAACCGCATTCAACGTGTATGCTTCTCGTCTTTATTTACTCAAGATGAACACGGTATGTCGTTGGGCCATGGAACCACTTTTACCAATTTTGCTTTTGTGTAGGAAAATCATATGCCATTCAAGACAGAGAGTAGACGCTCACCAGTTTGACTAGACACGGACCTAACGATTCAACCACATAGTTCTCCGCTTGCTCGTGTAAGGCCAGTAATGGTCGTAGAATACGTTCATGAGCCGCCAGCAGCTCTTTCAGACCGGGGAACAGAGTGTCACATAGAGTACTGCTCGACATCCGTTCCGGTAACGAGTCATACTGTCCAGCTTGAAAGTGAGGAAACGGAGTCATGTAGACATCGTGTACCATGAGCAGCATGTCCACGTAGCCACGTTCGGAGAAGATCAATTCTACCAGGGGCGAGGGGGGGGGGGAGATCGGTGGACATGGAAAGTGAGATTCCGCACATTGAAATAAGCGAGTTGACCACGAAGAATTCTGACTGAGGATGCACAGACCCTAAAATTAAACATTAGAACACGGATAACTTGTCATGTCACCAGCATTTCTACCATAAGTAGTGATTCGAAATAAATCTCCGACTCAGTCGGCTGCAATCTGGAAGGGTCTGTTTGAAAGATACTGCGTTTACACGTCGGTCAAAGCTCAGCTCAGGCCTTACGAATATGTTGTCCATTCTCTTTCTCTCTTTCTCTCTCTCTCTCCCTATTCACAAACACGTGCACACATTCGGCAAGTTATGCAGGATGAACAAGAAGACAACTTTTCACACAAATGATCTGAGAACGTGAGCAGGACGTGTGAGAAAACGAAAACCAGTGTAATTCCAGTCTACCTAGCTGATGCAGGCCACCAACCAGCTGGATGACAATGTGTTTAAAATCGTCCACAAATAGCTCCACAACAGGTCGAACGAAATACGTTACTTGGCAACAGCTGAGGCATTCGCATTCAAAATCCGGAATCCACTACTAAGCAAACAGAAGAAAATGGTTAGTTCATTATTCTACAGTCGGTAGCCTGGTCTCGCTCAATTCTACGTGACGAACCGAGCCGTGACGTAACACCGTGTGACATACCCGGCCTGGGAAAAAAAGGTGGTTGAAAATTTCCAGAAATGATCTTGATCCCTCTTTCCTATCCACATGTGCTCCTCCTTTCTAAACAGCGTGTCAGACAGGGTTGTTTTGACCGATTTAACTTGATGAACCAATCACTTTCGGTTTTATCTCGTACGAGACGAAAACAAGATTGTTCGCTGCATGGTTTGTCTGTTGATCACAGTACGGGAATGGGCCATGAATCTCAAGACCACGGGGACAGGACACCGCGCAAGCGATTGTGCGGCTTTCGCCCCAGAGAATATTGTAATTCAGTTAAACGAATCCCAGAGAGAGAGAGAGAGAGAGAGAAAGAGGCAAAAACAGAGAACAGAAATCAGCTGAGTACGTATCGATTTCAAAACAGGAAGAAACAAAAGGACAAAGCTATCCCGTCGTTGCATGTGTACTCAGGCCGACAGAAATATCATCGAAACCCTGTGAGCAGTAACACACGTAATAACGACCAGTCAAGCGATTGTCGATCACACATAACACATTCGAAAGGATGTGTTATCACTTGTGGTGCACGACACGAATAAAAAGTGATGCACATGCGATCGATTCGGGCCGCGCTCAATGCTCGCAAACACACACACACACCCGCACACACGCGCGCGAACGCGCAAAGACGGAAGTGAATCGCTAATGCGAGTGGGACTGAAAAACAGGGGAGATCAGTACACGTTCGATCCCCTGGTGAAATACATCTCTCGACTACAGCGCACACGAACGAATAG